TCAAAATAGAAAACTAATTTCAATAAAAATATGATATGCAAGAAAAATCATTGAAAACTCATGTTTCCTAAATATTTATATAGAATTATATAATAATTTTCACTAAATTTTTCTAGAATATTTCTACTTATCAAATAGTTTACTTCAACAGATAGTTCTCTATTGACTTTTAATTGTATACTTTGGATATCTTTCTTCAAATCAGATCATCAAGTGTTTATACATCTTTATCCAAATTACATTCTATTAGTTATTTTGAAAGGAGTTCAATTCTATCTTTTTCCAAAAGTTAATTTTGGTTAATTTCCTAAAACATTAATCTCAATTCCTAAGTGATCCAATATATTTCATTTTTAAATAATCTTTAACTGTTTTAAATTCCACATATCCAAAAGATAAACAATTTTAATTAGATCTAATAAAAAAAAGAAAAAAAAGAAAATTGATTGCATAAACTTACCAAAAAATTTAAGAAATCAGCTTTTAAACTTTGCTTAATTTTATTGATGAAAATATCAAACATTAAACGGATGGATTAATTAATTGTTTTTTATTTTTGATTAAAATGAAATCAAGATATTAAGGCACTATGAATTGGGATTCTGGTCATCAAAAGAACATGATGCCTACACCAACTTTAGTATAGAGCCGTAACGCAGGATTTGGAAGTTCGAGGCTGCTCTTGGAAAGGCCTTAAGTTGCTCAAGATCTCTGTTTCCTTTTGGAACTTATTAAAGAGCACACATTGTAAGAATATATGGAATTCCAAAAATAATTTGCCTCAATGAACAGGACAAAGAGGATTAGATAGGAATTTTATATAATTTCCTATCCCAGTATCATAAATAGAAGATACCAAATCCAGAGTAAAAAAAAAATTAAATACCAGATTTACAATGCTATCAGTATGTGGTAAGTAGGTGGATTTCTTAGACATTAGAATGTAAATACCAATCATAAATTAGAATTGATATAATACATAAATATAAAATATCCTAAAAATATTATTTATTTAAAAATGATTGTTCATAAACATAAATAAGTCTCACATCAATTACATGAGGGTAGATCTCATGTTCATATTTATTTTAGTTTTAACAAAAATGTATAGACAAATTTCATAGGTCCAAAAAGTACATCTTTTCTTTTTTCCTTAACTTTTTTAAAAGGGGGAGTATTACTATTTTTTAGGTTAAAAATAAAATCTTATTAAATTATTTGCTCAAGTCTTTGAATATAATATTAAAGATTTAGCTCTCTAACAAAAACGAAAAGAATAACAATTGTTTACTATAAGTATAAATCAAACAATCAAATTACAATAATAAGACATATTCCAGTCTCATGACATTTAGCTGAAAAAATAATTATTGATTTTTTATATAAAGGATGAGTTAGAACTCAATTTTTGAATAAATTAAAATGTTCATATATAAATAAAGATATTCTATATCATTAAAAATAAAGCAATTTGAATGTTGAAATGAATCCTCTATAGCATATTTAATCTCTATTACTATCCATTCTAAATCTACACAAAGCTTGAACTCTATTTTGGAAAAATACATATGATACTTTTATCGATTTTGCAGAATATAACTTTAAGTTAGAGTAATACAAATTCATTATTAAAAATAAAAAAGAAAATGCAGGGCTCTTTTTAATCGAAGGAAGCTCTAATTGACATCTTTGGATAAATAAAAGGTGTAGACATATAAATCTTTGGGTTCATATTAGAAATATTAAGAAAGGAAAAAGCGTAAGACTGCATTTAATTTCTATCAGACATTAGGAATCAAAGACAGTTAGAATCATAAATCTTACAACGAGTAGAGAATATCACCCAAGTTGATTAAGAATAGAAATTGTCTGTTATTGGAAATGAGATGAAATAAATTATAGATGTCTTAAAAAAGTTAAAAGATCATGACTTCAATTTCAAAGACTTTTCCTCTGAAGAAAATGTAGAATCTACATTAAGTCTAATTAATATCATAAAGGATGATAGATAGATTATAGAATTTCTGTAATTTTTAGTTCGCCTTACATCCATAGATGACACTTTAATATAGTGTGGGTCAAATTCATTAAATATATTAGTTTAGATGAAGGTAGACCTTAGAAACAAAAATTTTGAATATATTAAGATCTAAAATACTTCTTTAGTAGGAGCAAATTTTGTTAGATGTAATTTAAGTGGATCTGAATTTAGTAAAGTGGATATTAATGGGTTGAATTTGAATGGAGCTTTCTTATTTAATTGTTAATGGAAAAACATAAGGGTAAATGAATTAAATGAGTTGAAAGGTCATTCAAGTTCAATCAATTCAATCTGTTTTTCTCCTGATGGTATTACATTAGCATCTGGTAGTGGTGAACGTCGTGGCAGTGGGGATTGTTCAATCCGTTTATGGGATATAAAATCAGGATAATAAAAATCAAAATTAGATGGTCATACTAGCTGGGTCCAATCAGTTTGTTTCTCTTCTGATGGAAATACACTAGCATCTTGTAGTGATGATAACTCTATCTGTTTATGGGATATAAAGACAAGAAAAAAAAGATTTAAATTTGATCGTTATAGTGGATATATTCGACCAGGCTGTTTCTCTCCTGATGGAACTACATTAGCATCTGGTAGTAATGGTAATTCTATCTTATTATGGGATATTAAAACAGGTTAATAAAAAGCCAAATTAGATGGTCATACTAGCTGGGTCCAATCACTTTGTTTCTCTTTTGATGGAACTACATTGGCATCTAGTAGTAGCGATAAGTCTATCAGTTTATGGGATATAAAAACAGGATAATAAAAAGCAAAATTGGATGGTCATAAGAAAACTATTATGCAAATCTGTTTCTCTCCTGATGGAAATACATTAGCATCTAGTAGTAATGATAATTCTATCCAATTATGGGATGTTAAAACAGGTTAATAAAAAGCCAAATTAGATGGTCATACTAGCTGGGTCCAATCACTTTGTTTCTCTTCTGATGGAACTACATTAGCATCTGGTAATTTGGATAAATCTATCCGTTTATGGGATATAAAAACAGGATAATAAAAAGCAAAATTGGAGGGTCATAAGAGCATTGTCTACTCAGTCTGTTTTTCTCCGGATGGTAATACATTAGCATCTGGTAGTGATGATAACTCTATCCGTTTATGGTATATGTAAAAAGTATAATAAAAAGCCAAATTTGATGGTCATAGTGATTATATTCAATCAGTCTGTTTCTCTCCTGATGGTACTACATTAGCATCTAGCAGTTATTAAGAAATTCGTTTATGGGATATTAAAACAGGATAATAAAAGGCAAAATTGGATGTTCATACTAACACTATAATGTTAGTCTGTTTTTCTCCTGATGGAAATACATTAGCATCTGGTAGTGATGATAACTCTATCCGTTTATGGGATATAAAAACAGGATAATAAAAAACAAAATTTGAAGGTCATACTAGTTCTGTCTACTCAGTCTGTTTCTCTCCTGATGGAACTACATTAGCCTCTGGTAGTGATGATAACTCTATCCGTTTATGGGATATAAAAACAGGATAATAAAAAGTAAAATTAGATGGTCATACGAGCATTGTCTAATCAGTCTGTTTTTCTCCTGATGGTAATAAATTAACATCTGGTAGTGATGATAACTCCATCCGTTTATGGGATATTAAAACAGGATAATAAAAAGCAAAATTGGATGGTCATACTAGTTATGTCTACTCAGTCTGTTTCTCTCCTGATGGTACTACATTAGCATCTGGTAGTTGGGATAAATCTATCCGTTTATGGGATATAAATACAGGATAATAAAAAGCCATTTTGGATG